TGGGTGGGTGGGTGGGTGTGGGTGAGTGTTAAGGAAAAATTTCTTCCCAAGTCCGGGGTTATGGTAGGGTGACTAACGACTTACTGAATCCGTAAGTTGAGGATATAAATCCGTAAATAAAAGAACATTAAGAAGTTTGCTGCATTGCTACTCTGTTCCAGCACAGACATCTCACACAGTGCTACTCATACTGTCTGCCAGAATTCTCCCTATTCAGGAAAAGGCCATCCTTGCTCCCACTGCAGAAAAGACACCTCAAGTATAAAGCCTGTTAAGCTGGCCCTCAGCAAAGTTTGGCATAAATCTCAACAGTGAATGAGCTGGACAAGTTGGGGGTTATTTCCAGCACAAGTGTGCATTCCAAATTTCTGCTACAATGGCATTCTGACCACATCTTTAGCCATGCATTGTCCTGCAGGAGATCACAGACAACTTCAGTTAGTTCCTACTGCTGTCTCACGAGTCAATTCTCTTCCTCCTGCTTACATGATATTCCCTGTGCTGCAGACCATTGTCCAGTCTCCCCAGCTCTCTTTTCTGGGCTGTACGTGAACTTTCCTCAAATACCATAAAACTTCTGCTGGTGTCCCTGCATTTCCTGTATTACTTTTAAACATTAGCAGTCTCAGCTGTTGGAGACATGGGAGGCCTGTGCCTGGCTGGCAGAACACATGGACACAGAGTACTGACCTGGCCCTCTGACATTGACATCCAGAACGTCCACTTCTTGATCTGCTTGAGGTGGTGTAAGGGCTAGTGATGTGCTCCCACAGATGTCTGCTGCCTCCAAGTGCTGCTGTGTCCACTGGCGCTGATCTACTTGCTCATCGCCTTCCGGGAGCAAGGCCTGATCCTCAGCCTGAGGACAGGAAATAAGAAGTTGCTTCAAAGTTCTCATCAAACGGCCAAAGACACTGCAAGTTCTCACAATTTCATTCCTTTTTAAGGTAATGAAGGCCTCCGTCTACCTCAGCTTGGCGTTCTTAACTTTTACATTCCTACCACGCGTGATCAGGCTTGAGCTGCAAGACATGACACTACTGTTAACTTTCTCTTCCCTTCGGTGCAGTGGGGCCTGGCTATGGAGGGGACACTGGAACAAGTTATCTGCTTTCTCTCCTGGCCTGGAGTGGCTCTGCTAACCTGTGGATTTGCCCACCAGACATATTTAGTTATATTTTTACAAACACCCAAGCAATGGGAGGTTTGGGGTAAGGGGCACACTCTGCAAGTTAATGCTTTCCTCGCTAGCCTAAAGCGGTCTCAGTGGTAAGCAGGCAACATTCAAGACAGAACTTCTTACCTTTGCTCTCTTTGGCTGAGGTCCACCATCACCTGCCCAGTGTTCAGTTGGTCCAGAATCTGCCAGGTTACCTTCTGGTACCTGCACTGACAGATTTCTAACAAAGAAGGAGAGCACATCATTTTGCAGGCTCACCAGGTGCTACTATTACTATTCATACTGGTCTGCAGAGACCAGGGATAGGCTGCAGTTAGTGCGGTAGTTTGCAAACAGAGGGACCAAGAAGTTAGAAAGGAGCAACTAAAATCTCAACTGAAACAAATGTCACACAGTTGCTGCATGACAACAGGCATAACACGGGATAGTGATGCCCATTCAATCAACTACAGCATTGAGCTTCCGCAGTTTCTCATCGCAAAGATCAACCATGGCATCAGAAGACTGGGTCCTGACACCTACAAGAGGCTTCTAGAAGACAGATAAGCTCGGCAAGCAAATCGCCAGTATCGCACTGGCACGCTGATTGGAGAGACTGCCTTTCCAGGTAACACAGGAAGTGCAAATCAGATTGCACGCATCTCACTACCAGAGCTCCATATGGTCTATAAAATGAACCAAGTGTGCGTTTGGGTGCCTGGTTTTATTTCTAATGATGTGTTATTGGGATGTCTGCAAAGTGTAAACCCAGGCTTTTTGTCTCCGAAAGCATGTACTGCATTAGCAGCAGAAAAAACATTGAATATTAGTACAATGCTCAAGTTAGTAACAACTTAACTCTTCTGAACAGGACTTAAGAGAGAAAAATATTTTCCAGGTTAAATAACATCTCATTAAAGTATCCATCCCCTGGTCCACATGTATCTGATTCCTTGCAGACTCAGGAAAACTAGATAGAAACCATTCCCTGCATTAATTTCAGTCAGCCAACAGTGGCATAAATACATTTAGAACTGTACACTTGGTTAATTCAGAGGAAGGTCAAAACTCTATGAATGGGATTCTTCTTTTGAAATTTTCCATTATTTCTGAGTCATGTATCCAATGCTTTGAGTTGGAAATATTAAAAGTTCAGTCACCTGCGAACTCAGAAACGCCGCACCTAATCCTAAGGGAAATTATGCAACAAAGAGTACCCAACTGCTGAACTAAACAGAGCCTCAAATAACCAACAGGTAATCCGAAGATTAGATTCCTTACTGGTATTTTATAGATTACAGTCATTTAAGGTTCCTCTGCCCAATAAAGAAGTATTAAATTTGGAGAGAAAGACTAAACAGTATTAGCTTAAAAGGCAGCTTTCCTATGGAGTTAAGTGTCTTTCATGAAAGATTTGTAAACCATGTTCTTAAAATCCTACAACATGTTAGAAAACAGGTGGCCAGTGGCCCAAACGCAGACTTACTTGAGTCCGACTGCATCTTCCCCAACTGGCTCTCTACGCTTATGATTACTAGGATCTCTGCGCAGAATAAAGCCCTCTGGGAGCCACAGTGAACCATGCTTGCGTTTACGCTTTGCCATCATCACGCCCAAAAGAAGGATTAAGAGGATGATCAAAGCTGCCACAGCAAGTAGGTAAAGCAACTGGGTCTTCGGTGGTAACAAGGGTTCACCTAAAAATCCAAATTAAAAACGCAGTGAGATTAACAAAGTTGAGACAACGATCTCCAATCTACCTGTGCTCTTTTCTCACTTAGGGTTTTCCCCACAGAGACAGCAAATTGTTTCTAAATAGTGATGCCTTTACAGTAAAGGCTTGAGGAAGCTTAGGTTGTGCTGCAGCTATCCTAAGAATACAGTCTGTCTTTTCAGCTTCCACTGATACTGTTTCTCCCACAGTATTTTTTTTTTTTTTTAAAGAGTATTTTGCTGTTGAACTGAAGACATTGTTTCTTCTTCAAGAATCTGGCTGGCTAAAGACAGCCACCCTGAATCAGTGAGGAAATATTTGATCTACATAAAAGATCTGATCAAGACCCAACTAGGAATCTAGCGATGCTACCAATTCAGTAGGAAGTGGCAGCTGAGCCTCAGGCTGAGGCAGCGGGGGGCAGAAATCAAAAGGAATACAGAGCACCAGAGGAAGAAACATCTGGAAGACTGAGGCGCCTTCTCCTCGTTTCTTCTCTCTAATGGCATCCTTTTTATTCATGACTTAGAATACGTGAATTGTTTCTAAGACAGACGAGACGACTGCAGTGTGTGATACGCTGCAGCAGCATGTGAGAGATCATGGTTTCTACATGTATTAAAATGACTAGGCTCCAAACTTATATGGTCTGCCTTATCAATAAAGCAGGAAAAATCCCCCCACAAAAAGAGGAGCGCGCATGCATACTTCTATTACTGGGATGAATAAATTATCTCCCAGAAACCATACTGAACGGTGAGACATATGAAGATGATGATCAATTAATCTCAGCGTGCATTTTGTAAGCCCCAGTTTACTGACCGCCTCCTTGTACAAGCCATTTTCCCCTCTGAGATCACTTACTTTGGACAGACACAAAGGGATAGGGCAACATGCCCTTGATGGCCTGAGCAGCTAAGAGAGCTGCAGCAGCTTCTGTGTTCTGAAAGCACTGCTCTGAATCCTCCGCGCACTGACGGTTGTCAATCTCCAGGAACACCCTGGTGCTGCAACAACACAGTAACAGGGCACAAAGTCAGCAGCAGAAAGAGAAGTTTTTGCCAAAACATTGCTAAGCTAAATTGCGGCCTTTTAGGTTAACATTTCCACCACAGTACTGAATTTGGCAGTCTCAATAGCTTTATGTTTCCCCACAGCCAAACAGACAGGCTACCGTCCCAGATGGTCCAGAGCACCCACAACGCTACAAGCAACAGCTATCAGCATAAAAAGGACCAAGAAACACAAAGGCATCCGCTCACCCAATGACCTCTTGCTCCAGTTCTCTATGCTTGCGAATGATCACGAGGGACCGCCGACTCCGCGCTGCCGATTTCTCCCCATAGTACGGGAAGACCATGGGGTTTCCCTGGGAGTCCAGTTTGATTCTTAGGTTGGTGTGGAGGAGAGTTCCCAAAGTGCGCAAGAAGCTGCGGACATCACCCAGCAGCTCGTCAGGGGGCATCAAGACCACAATGATTAGGGTCCCTTCTGCTAGCTTCTCAGCTTTGTCGCCAGCACAGTCCAGGCCATCCCAGCCACACTCCTCACTGTTACAGCCCTGGTCACAGCGTCCATCTGCATAGTGATCCGCACAATACTTGTCATACCTAGAACAGTCAAAGGGTTACAGTCAGCCTACAGCACATGCACGTTCTGCATAGCATACCTGCAGTCTAGGGGCCAGCCGGTTAAAAAGAGATGTAAGGCCTCGTATGCTAATCATTCTCCTTTACGGTCGAGGTCTAAAAACATTTGCGCTCAGGATATAAGGAAAAAAGATACAACCTCAGGATAACAGCTTGTGAACTGGCAGGAGAGAAGTAGGAAGCGCGGAACACCCAGTTCAGTTCTGGTAACAGTGGAAGAGAACTGTTTATTCTATTTACTGAGATAAAGCTGTATCACCTCCTGCCTCATCAAGAGGCCACCATCACAGCAAAGCTGTAGCATTTCTTGTGAATGACTGAAGAGAAAGAAGCATCACGACAAAAAGGAAGGAACACACATTCTGAGGCAGCAATTATATCTGGGACAAAGACACAGGTACTGCAGCTACAGAGGGAATCCAGGATGGGAGGCAGCACTCTTGAAATCTAGCACAAGGTGAAATGCCTTCTATTTACATTCCCACAGAAAGCAAGCTAGATCCATCAAGAAGGTCAACACGTTACCGTTTCTCAGGCTATCAACTTAGCTCATAACGTACAAATTCCAGAACTTCTTCCCAAAAACAGAGGAGAAGTACACAAAAAGGAAAGGAAACTCCTTGATGCTCAACTTTTAGCAAGAGCACGGAGCAGCAACAGAAAACAAAGAAAGGGAGAAGAACAACAGGCACGAAGCACACCAGCTACTGAAAGCGTTAGCAGGAGACGTATTAGTGACACAAAGAAACAGTTCTCAGGATCTGGTCTTACTTGCATGTCTTGCTATTTTGCTGACATTCAAAGTTGTCAAACAGGCACTCGGGTGTGTTGCAGAAGTCGTCACACTGTCCATTGAAAAGCATCCAGCAGCGCAGCGAAGAGGAGCAGTTGGCCCAAGGATCTTCCATTGTCAAGGAACAGTCACCCCCGTCCCACTGGCAGGCATGAGTGTTACAGTCTTCATCGCAATAGCCATCCTTCGCCTTTTCCGCGCACTGGGAATCCAAACATCCTAGAGGCTCTTGGCTGGGATGTATGAGCTGTTCACATTGGCTGCCTTGGGCGTGATCAGGGCACTGACAGTAATAGTAAGGAGGCTGAGAACGAGGGTGGCAGCTGCCACCATTCTGGCAGGGGGCACTGGTACAACCGCTGTTTGGGACCAGACGATGTCTGGATGCACTGCTCCCCCTTTTTGCATTTCACTTGCCCACAAGTACTGTGGCTGCTGAACTCACATTTTGACCCAGAATAACCCTGGGGGGGGGGGGGGGGAAAAAAAAAAAAAAAAAAAAAAAGAGAGAGAGAAAAAAGAGAAAAACAGTCAGGCTCACAAACTTATTCTTCAATGCTCTTGAGGGCCAGAGGCGAGATGTCATGTGCAAGCCCCTTCTCCACAGTAATTCTTCTAGCCTCACTGCAGGAGCATGTCATGCTTTTCTGGGTCTAGCGTAAGGGATAAACTAAGCCCTTACATGGCTCTGTTACCTTTTGGAAGAGACTTTGGAGAGCCTTAAACAAGGGGAATCTTGAAGTAAGAACAGAGAACACAAGAGAGCAAAAAGCCTGTTGAATATTTAATACTAGCTTTATGACAAAAATCAGCTATGCTGCCTCAAAAGCAAAATTGTTTGGGGTAGCTGGGTTTCCCAGCTAAGTAGATAACCTAAAGGATGTGGGTACAAGAGTGCCCAAGGACACGGCTTTGCAGGCAGTACAGCAGTGCTGCCTCTTCACCTGCAGTGGACCAGGGAAACTGATGTCACTGCTGCCAGAGAACCCTACAGCTAGGGTAAGCAAACCAAATTTCAGGATACAGCACTTACCGGAGGACACTGGCAGATGAACCCATCCGGCATATTGCTGGCAACAGCACAGGTACCTCCGTTCTGACAAGGCCTCCGGGGACACACATCTATTACACTCTCACAGTGACGACCTGAGATGCAGACACATGAGGAGAAAAGAGCAGAAAAATGTCTGCGTGTACCAAAAAGCCATCACAAAGCAAAACACTCTGAGTAGAAGCCCATGAGCCAAACGCCCCAGAGAGGCTTCCCCTCAGAAGAGGCAGGGCACACTTCTTCAGATAACATACGGTGTCTAAGTAGCAACCTCTTCCTGGATACGAGGAGGGCCCAACACCCAGTACTCATGAGGGGTCTCTGTGGACACTCCACTTCATCTGCCTCTTCAAGAAAGTGTGTGACCCAGCACTAGGACAAAATTTGTTGCTGTCACCAAGGCATCAAGGGACAGTGGCTAAAGGTGCTGTACCACATCAATTTTGGGTTTGCTAAGACTTCTTTACCTTTTGGGAGATTCTCAATGAATCCAAAGGCTCCCTATAAGCACGAGGGCACCACCCTCAGTCTCTGGCAAGGAGATACTGAGGCTCTGTCAGTTATACAGAGAGGTCTTATTGCCCTGACTAGCGTTTGCAGCAGCCCACGGAGGCAGCCCTCCCTGGCACTGGAGTTCAAAAAGATGAGGATGGCCTAAGCATGACTCGGACCCCCTAGGAACAAATTAACAGAAGCCTCCACACACACGTGGCCAAGGCTGACTGCTCACAAACAGGAGAAGACAGGGCAGGATGGCCCAAGGAGTCTTCGCACCCTATCAGTCACAAACCATACCAAAGTCACTCCTCCTCCTCCCAGGCAGAGGGTCAACATGGAACGTGCAGAAGAGCAGCTAGAAGAAGTAGCACGCTCCCCCTCTCTGTCTAACATTTCCAGGTGGATTTCATGCCGGAGACGCAGCAGCTCCCCCTGCTCAAGCAGGTCTGCACTCCCCATGCTGCAAGTTCTAGCAACCCTTCTGTGAGAGCCAGGAGCAATATGAGGCATAATTCATAAAAGCGAGCTTAACAGACAGGCTTAAATAGAAACCTATCTAACGTTCAGCACCAGCGTCCCACTAGCTATCCTGGCTCCAATTCCCCCCATACATTGCTTCTTTTAGAAACTTCTTGTGTCAGTTAATCTAGGTAATGTTCAAAAACTACCACATGTAGTCTTCAGATATACTACCTTCTTTTAATTTTTTTTGCATCTGACAACCACAAATTTAGTGGATAATCTCAGCATCTTTCCATTCTAAGGAAAAAAAAAGAGTAAAAAGTACTGGTGAAGTAGGCAAAAAAGGACACTGGTTAAGCAGGGAAAGCGTGAGGTTTTAATGGAAGAAAACTGAATGCAAAAGTTAAACTGACATGCAAACTTAAAAGCTGAAAGTTAATACACATCTGGAGACTATTAGCCCGAACTTATACCCAGTGGGAGGGAGAAAGCAGAACAGCAGTAATAGTGACAAAGAAGAAATCTAGAGAGAGCGAGGCCTAAGTCTGTGCAGCATGAATTTTTTGCAAACTTGTGATTTAAAGTTGGATTGTGGAAGGATCACATCACTGAGCTAGGAATGTGAAGTCTGCCTACGCAGAGAGTATTCCATTCTGACCACATCACCATTATGAGGCAGAAAGGGAGCGAGGGGTAGAAAAGCAGGCCAAAAGCTAATTGTGGATACTGGGAGACTGATTTATAGAGAAAATTCATATGCTGCTTTGCAAAAGGAAAAGCCATGGAGAAGCTGACACATGAACAGTTACCCTTCCAATATTAGAAATGAGAAATTATGAAGAAGAAGAAAATACCAGGAAAAATAATTTGGGCAGCCAAGCGTCCCTGGACACTCCTTTGTCTGAGATAACTCTGGAAGACCCCTCTCTCAGAAACTCTAAAGAAAAAGACTGGTTTAAACACTAAGACATGGTGCAGGGAAACAATCAGGTATTGTAAAGGAAAGGGACCAGATAATATGACTCCCAGAAAGGGAAAGAAAGACCATTTTTCATGATGACACTGTGAAGTTGGAAGCGTGTTTATGAATACTCACCAGTGAAAGCACTACGACAGACGCACGTGTAATCATTTATCAGCTGAACACAGTCCAGACTGCCACGAGGGCTACAAGGGTTAGAGAGACATTCGTTGATATCCCCCTCGCATCGCTCGCCTGCATAGCCTGGGAGACAAACGCAGCTATAGCCCCCGATCTGGTCAATGCACTGTCCTCCATTAAAGCAACGGGGTGCTCCCGAATCTGAAATACAGTCATCGACGTTCTCCTCACAGAAGCGGCCTGTCAAAACAGTACAATGAGCAATTTGAGGATACAGTGTCATTGCCTCACTTCCTATAGCGTTCAGCAAGTTTTAAGACTGCTTCACACACAGTCCTAGATATAAACAGGTAAAGATCCCAGCTTAATTCAATCCATATCCAGCGCGCTCACTCAACCTCAAACTGGACCTAGGGAGCACATGTTTCAAATCCAATCTGTTCTCAGTGATGCATTATACTGGTATTTAACAGCTTTCGTTCTTGACTTAATTTAAGAGCGTAATTAAAAACACACAAAAAAAAAACAAAAACAAAAAATACGCTCAATTTACTCCTGTGACTGAACCCAGCCAGACAGCCCTGCGCTGTCTCTTGCAAGACTGTAAACTTCCCATCGTTCATTTAATTTGGCGGTAATGCTGAAACTCAGCAAAGGGCATTTTGTATCAACATCATTAAAATGAGCAACAACAGACCAACAGAAAAACAACTGTGATAAAACACAGATTTCTAGCCAGCATACCATTTCAACGATTTGGCTTACGGGGACCTACAGTAAACTCTCAACGCTGCTAGGGATGGCAGCTTCCCCTTCTCCCTACAGGGTGCCCGTTCAAGAGAAAAAACGTCTCTTACTGGTTCTGCTTTAGTCACACAGCATAAGAGATAAAGGGGTACAGAGAGGGCAAGCTGAGCAAGGAGCTTTGCCTGGTAATACAGTTGACCTATCCCGAGCAGATAAAACCATCCACTTAAACATGAAGGATGTCTATACTGTCACTGGTAAAGTATTTGTTTCAAACTCAGCCAGGGACAAAAGTCAACTCTTGATATCATAAGTAATGAAATCAATCCCTTCTAACCCCTCTCATGAATTTTTTTTTTTAACATACAAGAAGTATGTAAAAGAAGTACTCATCCCAACAATTACAGGCAGAAGAATTAAAAGAAGTACTTTCAGAACTTTAAAGGTTCTTCCAAGGAAGCAAGAATGCTTGAGCACATTACAGATATCCTGGCAAAGTAGAAATTGGTACATAAATACATACTTTGATGTAGAGACTCTAGAAGCAAATACTTTTTAAATTGGAACATCAAATTAAAAACACTACGTGAAGAACTGCTATCACAATGATTTACAATGAAATAAACACTTATCCAGACTAGGAAGATGTGCTGGCAGCCACACTAAAGTAAATGAACTGATAATAACGCATGTGCAGGAGGCAAACATTTTAGATAAAATTATAATCTTTCTCAGGATACGAACCAAGAATTTACTTCTACCTGACATGCATTTGGCCTCAGCTGAAGGGTGGGGTTTTTTTTGTTTTTTTTTAAGATTGAGATGTCATACTTTAGAAAGAAAAACTAAGTTCTGAGGTACGTAAAAATCCTCAACTGATTTGAGAAATAAATCTGAGTTAAAAAAGTAGTCAAGTGAGAAACCACTAGGTGAGGGGTTAAAATATCTGATCTATGCTCTCTGTGCAATCATCAGTATTTGCAAACGTAGAAGTTAGGGCACCAGGTCAGATATAGCAGGGAAATGGCATGTTAGGCTTCAAGAAAAGCAATGCTGAACAGGCTGTGGAATCATACTTACCGAAAACCACCATTATGTAACTGTGGACTTTTTAATAAAGAGCTCAAATTTGCTGAAATAGAATAAGCTAGCCTAGAGGCACAGAACTCTTCCACAAAAGACCCCGGGATCGAGGACAAATGGAGGCCCAAAATTTAAATGAGTAAAGGACACAGGAAGTTATACAAAACCGAAGCAAATTTTCTCTATAGCTAACATCATCCTAGCTAAAAGGGAACCTTTAATTTACTGTCACAAAACAGAGGGGGTTAGGAGAGACCTTAATGGATCATCTAGTCCATCCCCGTTATAAAAGACGGATCATCCCTTCCCAACAGACATTGTCCTGATCTATTCCTTAAACAAAACAAAAAACAAAACAGAAGGGGGGGAGGGGAAGCTTTGCAAGACAGAGATCCCATAGTCTAACAAATGTACGTATTTATTTTTATAGAGAAAATATTTGTCTCGAGGGACTCTGTGCACTTTGGGAACATTCTTCACAGGAAATAACGTATCCCCTGTAGAATTTGTGGCATGAAACCAGTCATCAGAAAGGAAAATCACTCTTGTAACATTCACTTAATTGCTGAGTTTCATACCCCGAGTTCCTGGTGGACAGGAGCACTTGAAATGATTGACGAGGTCTATACACGTTCCTCCATTCTGGCAGGGCTGAAACTGGCACTCGTCCACTTCATATTCACAGTTGACACCCTGGTATCCAGGCACACACTACCAGTATAAAAGTAAGTGTGAATAATCTCCGTGTAACATATGTATTAGCAGCCAACTGAGAAAGGCTAACACAAAGGAAAAGAACCCTCCATGGGAAAAATTTCACCTTCCTTTGTAGCCGTACAACCGTAAGTGATTTCAAGGGCTGCACAGACAGACAGCTTAAGCATACAAATTAACCATGTGACTACTCAACTGCACAGTGAGTGTCTGAAGTTGAGTGACTTTATTCCTATAAAATATGAACAACCAAACCCTGGAACTCTCTAGCATTGAGCTCACTGCAGAAGTTTTGACCTAAGGTTTACATAAAATTCGTCCTTTCCTTCTGGGCACGGACTCCCAAGGTATTCTACCATTCTCAAAAGCCTAGACAGGTCTGGATGCCATAATCTCTTGGTCTGCACCAAGAGCTGTAGGAATCAGACAGCAACAGAAGGCATCTTCTATCCTGAGCGGCAAGGGATACTTCACCCACCCAAGTAAGGGGAATACAACATTCCTTTATATTAAAACATATGTATAATGCAATAAAACATACCTCAGCTAAGAAACCTCTTCAGTTAAGAGCTCTCCAAGGAGGCATGGAGTTCAAATAACTACCAGCCTTACCTCCTTACAAACACACCTCTAATTCTGTCTTAAAGGTCTCTCAGAAACACTGCTTCTGCCACAGCCAAATTATAATTTATTTCCAGGTGCAGATTGCTTTTTTCTCTGTTTGAATCTATTCTAACACTTGCATGTGTTTCTAATTTCTTTCGATTCCTCTGCAGTATAATCCTCTTAAGTATCTAGAGCTCTTCCTACTAAAGCACTGTGCATTACCTCACACTGGTAACCAGCCAGGTGATCCCGGCAGGTAGCCCCATTCTGACATGGGCTGGAGTCACATTCATCCAGCTGCTCCTCACAGTAACTGCCGGTGTAACCCACCCGGCACTGACACCGGTGTGTGTTTCCAACATTGAGGCAATGGCCAGAGTGTTGACACAACTGGTCTACCGCGACTCCTAAAAAAAAAAAAAAAAAAAAAAAAAAAAATTC